TCTGGTTCCTATTTTTTAGGCACTATTTGACTAGTGTATAGTATTAGTAACATATGGTCTTGATCATTACATGTGGGAAAAATATTATATAACGGTGAGGTCCTAAACAATCAAATTAAGGCGCACCTCAAGAATTCATAGAAGGCGTTGTTATGATGCCCAAAACTCCTCAAATTGGTCATCTCGATTGCAAGATGTATGGACATTAGAAAAATTGGATTTCAAGTCTTGGAAATAGTGCATTTTGTAATGCATTTTCTGGCCGTCAATTTTAACGATTTTCACGTGTTTATAGATATACTCAGTCGACATTACCTTTTAACCTTTAGAATTTATAATTAGAGATGAAGATAATTTTAAGGCTATCACAAAGATTTTAATACTAAAAGAACATCTTTAGATACAATTTGAAGGTGCGTTTGACTTTCATTGTTTGAGACCTCAACCTTATACAAATCACACCCTTACATAAGATGCCTAAACCCATTAATTGAGCTTTGATAATCGAAAACAGAGAATCTTGAGAGTGATTCGCAATTCAGAAGAACTATGTAGGGGAGCCATTGAGTGATGCTTCACCTAATTTCATAGTAAGATTTCTCGAAGTCCTCAGACTCATTTATAAAAATGGTCCCCTATTAAAAGGGCAAGTTTTCTATGCTTCCCCTTACCCAACTGTTCATTCTGAATGGAGGGTTAAGATTGTCTCTATCACAATGTCATGTCTTTATACTATTTTATTTTTAAATTTTTTTATATAACATATTTTGACACCAAAATTTAGGCGTCCAATCCTCTATTAAACTTGCACTTGTAAAAAAAAAAAAAAAAAATTCTCAATAAAATAAAATGATCAAAATACCTCAGAAAGTTTCAAATTGTATTTTGATCATTGTATTTTATCGAAAATTATTTTTAAAATTTTTTATAGGTGCACCCCAATGAGAATATGGCACGTACTAAATTTCATATTCATACAATTTGTATTAAAAAAATTAAAATAGCGTCGGATCTATGATCAAACGGTGAGTGACTTACTTGATCAAAATTGGACAGCTAGATGGTAGGGGAAGCATATATATTTTATGCTTTAGGGGAAGTATAGAAACCTTTTCCCTATTAAAAACACAATTTTTAGATGGATTTCAGATCTAACTTTTAAGAAATATATAATCTCTAACCTCTTAAAGATATAGTTTTTAGATGGATTTCGTATCTAAATTTGAAGGAATATATAGTCTCTAACATATAGATCATGAATATGGAAAATTAAAAGAAAATAAACACTGCAAATGATAATTTTATGACGTAAATATCTAGCTAATTGGTTTTAACTTTTGTTTGGAAGGGACCACCCATTTACATCCATATTTACGATGTATGTTTTATTTGCTGCAAATGTAAGAATGTGTCCCTGACTCATAGAACAAATTTCCAAATAATAATGATAAACTTTGCTGCTTCACCAACAGACCCCCACACCAAATTCACCATTATATTCTTCATGCTCTTAAGGACAAGAAGAAAAATGTCCAACACCTTAAAAGGCTGGCATTCAAAAAGAAAAGTACGAATACTGTGCAAATCTAACGCATAAAGAGGTCCTTTCCCTTTGGACAAATTTTCTTGGGTAATATCCATTTCAAACTAAAAAGTAGGGATATATCTTCCCATATTCGCATAAGATATCCAAGGAAAAATATAAAATGAGGTCATTTACCTTTGGTATGAGGTGGTCACAATTAATCTTGATCGTTAGATGTGAAATTAGGTGGTTCCAATTGTTTTATTGATCAAGCTCAAAGTCCAAAGTAAATTTTCTCAAACTTTGTGATAAACACAAACTATCAGATTTCACATTAGATGGTTGTAAGTACTTGTGACCTCCATGTATTAAAGATAAATTGTCTCATTGTATGCAATCTCAATATCTAATTATAAAAGGGCAATTTATTATAATACTCAAGAGCATTGTTTTAAATTCCAGATCGGTGCGGCAGACCGTTTACCCTTAGAGCCATATCAGATATCTAGATCAGTGATCCAGATTAGATTCGGATTGGTAAGAATTGTTGATAAAAATTACAAAAACCCCTCAAATTCATACTCTAGATAACTTCCCCCCAACCACGTTTCTTTTATTACCCAAAATTTAACTTACGTAGCAAATATCCCTTAAGTCAATAAAAGATAAAATGAACACTAAAATACCCTCTAGAAAGCATGCGATCTAGCACAAAATGGGGGCGGTCCAGCACTTTGCTTCTACGTGCGGTCTAGAACAAAATAAGGGCAGTCTGGCACTTTGGGCATGCGGTCCGACACAAAATGGTGGCGATCCGATACTTTGGGCTTGTGGAAAGCATGTGGTCTGACACACAATGGGGGTTGTCCGGCACTATGGGCGTCTTCATAAAAAAAACATGACTGTTTGACTTGGGGGTATTTGCTAAGAACGTTCAATTTGAGGTAACAAATGCTAAAATATCTTAGTTGAGGGTAGGTTGTCTAGAAAATCACCGTTAAGTTTTGTAACTTTTCATAAAATTATTATAAATAAAATAAATCAAAACAGAGATTTATGGGACGAGGATTTAAGGGGTCCAAAGAAAAAAATAGACAAGCTTCAAACAATGGAAAAAAATATATATAAAAAGGAGGGCTTTTTGGGATGAACCGGATGGGACATAGACTATTCCATAATCGGTTCAGTCCTTATCTATTCCCATCCAGATTGGCAATATGTAGGGGTGGCAACATGTCGGGTATAGGTCGGGTCTGGTTGTACTCGGAACTAGACTCAAATGTATTCGGGTCTATGTTTTGGACTCGGACCCGACATGTCGGGTCCAAAAGTTGGACCCATACCCATACCCGTTAGGTCTCGGGTCTGGTTGGGTCCATTGCCACCATCACTATGAGTTTTTTTTTTTTTTTGCCATTTTTCACTATCATATACCCATATTATTGGCAACAAAGTCACAATCACTTGTCATTAGATTTCAAGCCGTCTGATTAGTCGTTTAATAAGTAAATATGACTACAAATTCTTATTGTATATGATCCTTAATACACCCAAATGAATAGGGCTTGAAGTATTTCATCTCCAATAGTTTACGAGTACGGGTCGGGTCCACCCGAACCCAAACCCGAACCCAAACCCAGATCTAGACTCGAATACGGTTCGAGTCCAGGTTTTGGACCTAGACCTGACCCGTGGCTCCAAATGTTAGACCCAATGGTTTAAAAAACGGATCGGTGACCAGGATCGGGCTTCCAAAAAACCGATCCGGATCGGCGAATCGGCGATCCG